GCCGGATAAGGAGCAGATGAGATATCTCCGGCCTTAATATGATCGGCGACGCCCTTAATCCCAAAACCCTGAGCCCACCTCGAAGCCTTGCTGCAAGGTTGCCTGAGAATGAGGACGAAACGCTGGAATCGCGGGAAACGCTCATAAAGGCAGATGCGAACACGTGCCTTACATACTAAATCCTCATCCTGCGCCAAAGCTTCTCGACGCCGCATGCCGCACGACGTAGTGCTGCCGCATATATACCAGGTGTCTCTAATTTCATCGCGTCCGACGCTCTATCCTCGACTAAAGAGATTGACTCAGTCGAGATTGAACTTCCTTCGTCTTCCGCGACTTTGGAGAATTCGCGTGAGATGGGAAGATAAGAAAATGCGGGTGCGAATTCCCGAATCATGATTTTCAAGGGCCCATTTCCGTGATCGATGCATACAAGTCACCCTTAATTTAGGTGCAGACGTAAAATAGAGCTTACGATTTAACTCATTGCCCCGTACGTTGCACGAGGTACAAGACTGATGATATTAACGAAGTCGGATTACGGGACTATTACGATTGCAAAATACAGCGATCTCTCGACATGTTGCGCGCTAAATTAACGAAGAGCACGTAAACATTTAAATAGCATACGATTACTACAAAGCGAAGATAAACGTGAGTCGATGGAATTTGAAAGGCGGCCGCGGTTGAGCTATATGACACACCATTTCGTGTGGAATTAAAGCAAGGATTTTATAGCCATGTTTGACGATCACGGCACAGTATTTTTCAAATTAGGCGCTTATCATCCGTGTTATTAATAACTTGATTCGTGACATTTTATCCCTCGGTATTTTCAAGAAAAATCTACTTTTTCGCAAGAGACAGGCATTTGTACCCCGAGTGTCTACGTGTTATAATAAAATACAGCGACTCTGTCAACTTCGAGTTGAAAGGTTCGTCGCAAAAGGGGTGATAAAATTTATGCCTTGTCATATAACAGTATCGCCTATCTGTGTCGCGTATCAACTCGTAACACAAATCTTCCTCGGTTCAACGACGTATGATACATTTCACTGCGATTCGTCAATGTCTGAAAATCCTTGTAAATTACAACTAACTCCGGCGTACAAATCGAATCTTTATCAAACATCATCCAACCAAATTGCCCTTCCATCGTTCTCGCGCCTATTCAATAAACATATTGATTCTCCGTAATGAAATATAACCGATTCCACCAACGATTCCAACACTATGGAGCTTGGTTTAAACAAACGACAAACCAGAAGCGCATCGACGCCACGTAAAAGACACCTGCGTCGACTGTCGGTTTGGCAATTATCACGGAATTCTATGAGAACCGACTCGATATCCGAATAGTTTGGTGGCGCGAAACGACGC